CCAGTAAGAGGGTTCAGGACCAGGGATAGCTCCAACACAGGTGTTCACTTTTTCCCCTCTAACAGGGAGCCTCAGCTGCAGGCTGTTAGGAACAATCAACCACCACCACATAAAACGGAACCGAGAGGCCTCAGTGGTGTCTCAGCCGGGGAGATGAGCAGATGCTGAATCGCCCTAAACCCAAGCACGGGACAAGTTCTTAAAGACAGAAGCTCAGTGGGGTCATGAGTAGCCTGAACACTTTTAACTAACCCTCCAGCTCTTCTGTCTTCCCTTCATAGAGATTGATCTGCTGCCCCAAGAACCAACCACTGAAGGAAGAAAGGCTTTAGTTACAGTTTTCCCCATCCCCACTCCATCACCTTATTGACAAATAAAGAGAATTAAGTTTTGTTCCACCAAATACCTGCCTGGTGCATTATCTATGTGGACAACTTGAGCTAATCTCACCAAATCTTGTGTTCAAGGGCTTACAATATATATATATATATTTAAACATTTGTAAAGACAAAAAAAAAGTTTTGAAGACAACAAACTAGAGCTGATAGAACAAGATGATCGATACTGTACCCCAATCATCAAATGACCGTTTAAATATCCACACTGTCCAGAGTAACTGAAGAAATCCCATCACACAGGCCCATCCGATACGATCTGCATGTGAGATATTAAAAGAAGAATATCCCCTGTCAGGGGATTGTCATTGTCATGTTTGGTTTGTTTTTTCCAGGCCTTATTTTAATATTATTTCTGTTCTATGGATTTTATATCTGTCCTGTGTCTGAGTTTATCTCCATAGTTACTGATTAAGTTCATCACCTGCATCTTGTTTAGTTGCTCATTATCTTATTATCCTTGTGTATTTATAGCACTTTGTCTGTTCAGCTCTGTATCTATTCTCGTCTGTGTATGGTTTGGTTTGTGGTTCTCCTGTGGTGTTTTTGTTTTGTTCTGTTTAGTTATTAAAGACTGTGTATTCAGCCTCCACCAACCCATGACAATGATGAGCTGTACTAAAATCTTTCAATTCTTAATATATTTAAAAACATAATCACAGCTTTCTCATTTTCCAGAACCATGATGTAGAAATAGATCATAACAGCATTCATCAATAACATCAACATTAACCACACTGATCTCCTGACCAGAGGTGAACCTGAAAAAATATGAGTAATAAACACGTTTAAACCAAGCACATAATAAACGTATTATTTCATATGATGAGAAGTTGTTTGTATCTGGGTTTCATACAGACTGAACTAAAAGGCCAAAAACGTGATCATCAGTAAGAGAGAAATCACTAAAGAACTGGATGATTTATTTCTCATGAATATTAAAATCTCATTCAACATTATCTAACACTCAAATCCAAGACTATAGTCATAGAGATACTGAACGTCATAAGTTCATCAAGATTGTAGTGCCATTTATGGATTATATATTGATCGTGTTATAATGTATTGATTGATTTATGTATTTATAACAGTGATCACAATCACTTACAGCCCATCTTTTCCCCACATGTAAGATCCAAATTATAATTTGTCACTGTTGTCAGCACCGGTAAAACTGCAACAATGAAGAATCCTAGAAACAGGAGAGTAATTATGATAACGCAGATACTGTGCATCACTGACAGACACATCAACACATTCACAGCTGATCAGATGAAAAACATCAACATATGAAGATCATTCTTAGTTCATCATGTTAATGTGATTTACTGATTGAAGACGTAAAGATGTCAGTCATCATAGAGTGCTAAAAACACATAGAGTTCAGTTAAGAATGAGACTAGCAACCTCAATCTATACCTGAACTATCACACTAAAACTTTCAGTACTCACACCTGCATTTTAAAGCTCAATGAAACGGACATATAAGCCCATCAACTGAACGTGTTAGATCCCACGCTTCTTTCAGCAGAGCTGCTTCCACCAGTTTTATAGCCTGAACGCTACAAAAGAAATGCTGCGCTTTGTGTGCTCTAGTCTACACTAAAAAATAAATAAATCAAAGCCACTGTTGAATAATTAAGGTTTGACTGGTGAACTCCTTCCTCAATTGGACATAAATTGTGACTGTTTCTGGAGTTATGGAAGTCACCATTTTTGATATTTTCATCCCTGTCACAAGAATAGAATAGGCCTAGGAAATTGACTATGGTTCCTTCAGGTCAGGTGTTGCATGAGCAGGACATTTCGATAGTCACACCTGTTAGTAAATCCAGTTATCAGTCCCGAACAGAGATTGTGTGAATGCAGCCAAATTATAAAATATAACCAGTTTGAATCTGGAGACAATTCTTTGTGTCACGAGGAACTTGGAGGGAAAGCAAAATCCACATCTCACTTTGTGTTCCCTGTGTTTTCCCCATGTATCATCACATTTCTGCCCTTGTTTTAAAATGTCAGCTGGAAAGATGTGAATTGCAGGGGTTTTTATCTTGCGAGATGCAGAATGCAGTAGTTATTGGTGATGCTGACTTGCTCATTTGATTAGACTCCACCTATGCCATTTCCTCATCTTCCGTAATCATTTTCTTCTGTCTCATTGGCATTTTAGCTTGCGTTATATGTTCTGATTGAAAGAGAACCTGATTTAGTTATTGCATACTTAAAATTACATTAATAAAGAGTTGAATGGAGTGCTTTTTACCAGCGTGCACTCAATTCAAAACCAGAACCGTTTTACTCGAATACTGTATTGTTCCATTATTCTAGCCCATATAAATGAATCCACATAGTTTATAAAGCTGAACTCACCTCCACTGGCAGATCCAAATGCGTAAAACCGGAGGATGAATTGAAATGAAGGCAGAATATAAAAGCTTTTACCAGCCAGAACCACAAATATAGCACTTATCCGTTCACCAAGCTTTCCAATGATTGTAGCCAATTCTATACCATGAAGAATAAATAAATGAATGAATAAACAAACACGTATTCTTTTTCAGTTAATTTATACCCCCAAAGGGGCGACGTATCCCCTGAAATACAAACATTTACAGATAGATTATGAAAAATGTAAAAATTAAATTAATACAATTTCAACACAAATGTAATTAGCTAACGCTTAACAACAACATTTTAAACATGTAAGTCCCCTACAAATATTAAATGAAATATAATTTATCTGAAGGTGATTTTCACACGAACACTCGGCCTGCTGTGTCCAGTAGGCTTGCTGTCGCTTGTCCAGGATTAAGATGTACATCTCCTGAGAGTGAAGAATATATATCCAGACAACATCCAGCAGACCTTGGCCTGTTTAGCATTCTTTATTTTTTGCCAATTTATGCTTCGGTTCGGCTGATCAACGGCAGCGGCTATTTGCACTAAGTGAAAATATCAATATTTTATTAGCGATATGCTATGTACACTAAGTGCAAATAACGATAGATCCTTACACGATGTAAAAAGAGCAGCATTTTCTTAGCAAAAGGTGTGAAAAGTAGATTATGTTTATACATAGTGGAGAAAATTGCAGATATTACTCCTCAGTATTGATGTTCATTATAAAACAGTATTCAGCAATAACATATTGAGTGTGAACATCACATTTCTTAAAATTACTAAACATATGTAGCCTTATATTGAGACAATAACGCCCTCTCTACACCTACCCCTAAACCTACCCGATCAACACTTTATTATTAAATACACGCCAGGCCCTTCATTTCCATTTAAAAAAAAATATATAATGCATTTTATTGAAAATAAATGTCTTTCTGATCTCATATGTGACGGGAAAAGAGAGAATAATGAATTCGGCAAAAGGTGGATTCGAACTCGGGGTCGATCGCGTCAAAAGATGCCGCCATACGGTTTCCGCCATATATACAACACTGAGCCTTATTATAACGCATTGGTGGGCGGAGCTAATGTTTAGCCTCTGCCAACAAGGTGGGCCCTTTGCACTTAATGGCAGCTCCTCTATGAATCAATAGAGTATTATAGATGACAAAATGTAGAATACGTCTTTGATACAGGGTTCACTTTTCCAGACTTCACTGTAGACCATTCAGACCATATTTCATAACGAAAAACAAATGATTTAAGGGAATAATTTGAATAATCTAGTAGTTAACATCTACATAAAACAATGTTTTGAAAGGTGACCTTAGACAAAATAAAGAAAACCATTATTCAAAGAAACACACAGCTGTCAAAGACACCTATTAAATAAATAAGGATAACAAAGGAGAAGTACAACAAATCTCGAAACATTGTAAAAATACTGGTAGCTCTTCTCCTGTAAAGTGAATTTGCCGGCTGGCAACAGATCCACAATGAAGGGACTTTAGAGATTTATGCGGGATTAACCCATTTATTGTCACCACAAGATTTGCATGTGTGTGTGGCTTTCTACAAATAAAGATATAAGAAAATATATACATGCAAATAACAATAAGAATTATAAGTAGTCACAATAGACATAATAACAGCAATCTCCACAATGAATATATGAAAACACAATGATTAATACAGTAAAATAGGAGAGAAAGTGCACCGAGAGAAATCCCCAAGACTGAGCTGTAGAAATCTGAGGCTCTCAGCGCGGAGGACAGAGATGGAGCCGCTCTGTCCAGCGCATTAGTGCGCATGCGCCAAAGGAGTAACTCTTAGAAATGAGCGATGCATGTTAAATATATATTAAATAAACCATATGATGATTAAATGGCACATAGATTATGTCTTCTAAACATAACGGTAATCTATGTGAGGAAACTAGTATAAACACACAGACGTCTTTACACGCTAGTTCGTCTAGTGTTCACTCGCATACATTAACTTATAAACACTCAAAGCTGTTAAACGCTCACAAACAATGTAGAAAGCAATGGATGAACAGACTGTTAATTACTTTATAGGCACGCACACAACTTTAGTAAAGATAATTTTTGAATCTGTATTGAGCGTGTGTTTCAGACAGCGGCCGGCTGCAGCACAGAGGAACACCTGTAGTTTGGTGATGCTCTGTTCTAGAGACATTGATCACATGAGCACGTGTTCATTGCACTGCCTGTGTTTCAGTAAGAAGACCTGATCAGCTGACTCGACGCAGCACGACGAACATGAAACCGAAAGTAAAGAACACAAGTGATCCGCGGACATTTCACGAGCGCGAGCTTCTGTCAGCGAAACATCTATATTTGTGCTGATCTACAGCTAAAGGACAGGATCCATTCGGTTTAGTGTTGCGGGAGAGAGGAAAAAGGAGTTGCTGCTTTAAGACAGCTATGTATGGGAGTTGTAGTCCAGAGTAAGATGCATTATGTGTAATGTAGTTCAGTGTGAAATGTGCTGGAGAGACGTGCCCTCACTGTGGGCTGTGCAGTTGAGAACGGAGGGAGAAAGTTTGTATTCCGCTTACAAGTCAAGTAAAATCAGTCCACCCGGGAGCTGTTTGCCACTGTGAACTTGACAACGTGAGAACGAGTAAAAAAATGGCATGCATCGGTAATTGTGTCCGTCTCTTCCCTTGCACGAACATGAATTGACGAGTTGTTACACTGCCGCCGGAAATCGCTGAAGTGGAAAAAAAGTAACATTGGGGGCTCGAGTCCGGGATTCGTTCGTCGCAGGGTATTGAGACATACGGACATTTTCAACTGTTAAACCGAACCAGATGTAAGAAAAAAAGGCTGATACTCGGGAGAGAACGCGAGTGGTGAGAAAACATTCTCATTTAAATACGAGCAGCCTGTGGAATCCTGTGATGTTGGAAAGGACAGAATGATGAAAACCGAACACATATATCATTTGTTGACTGGCTAAACGAAATGGATGAGCAAGTGTCAAAGACTGATAATAACAACAATCCATTTAAATGCAGTCCTGGCCCGTGTCCAGCATCCGTTTCAGTAAGCAGGCCCACATGTTGCTATGAGCCACACATAACACAGCAAACAGCAAGAGCAACCAATCCATTTATTAGTGGGGTGGAGAATGACCATATACATGACAGTGGAATCGATACACAGTGCTATACACAGAGTACTCCAGAAAATTTGAACTACTCACACTCCATATGCACAGATTTAACAGCCAAACGGATGCTTCAAGGCATGCCCACAATAAATCGCCAGCCTTGTAAACATGATGTCTGTGCAGCTCAGTATAGCATTCGTGAGGATGAAGGTAACACTATGTATTCCAAAGTCAATGAGTGTTGTATCACAGAGCTTACTAGGTCCAGCCAACGTGGAAGGAAACCACGTCGGATATTCTGTGACCTGTCATCAGACAGTGGGGAGGAGTGCAATGATCACAGAGAACAGATCCCCACACTGTGACCAGGTCAGTTTGATGGCTCTACTTCATGGAGAGAATTCTTAAACCGCTTTGAGGATTGTGCCAGAGCTAACCATTGGTCTGAAAGGACAATGACTGCAGATGAGGTTTTGTCTAGTAGGCGCAGCAGGTGCAGTGATCCAGAAGAAACCCAGGTCCAGCCGTTGGGATTATGCCCGCATAGTAGAGGAAGTGGAGGCTGCATACGGTCCTTCATCCGAACACGCTGCTGCCATTGGAATAGAGCTGAGGCAGAAGGTCCACAGGGCAGGTGAGCCACTCCATGTGCTAAGGGACGACATTTATGAAAAAGTCTCCATTGCTTATGCAGATCGCTCTGAGAGGGAACAGGACTCTATTAGTGTCGAGGTGTTCACTAATGCCATGGGAGATGCCGATATCGTGCAAAGACTGCTGGAAGAGCGACCACGTACCCTGGCCCGCGCCTATGATATTGCACACAGGTATGAAACCACACGTCGAACAGCCACTAGTGTAACGCAACTTATGCAATCTGCCGTAAGGCCGATGGAACGAAGGACTAGAGCAGCAGCAGTACGTGAACGTCCAGACCAGAGTGGAAGTGACGAGGAATGTTTGGTGCCGTCAACCCCTGAGTGGAGACAGAAAAATTCAAAAGCAGAATTCAAATCTCGTCTGCAGAGATTCAACAAGAGGAGTAAAATCAATTGGGAAGAGATTGTCTGTCACAACTGCCAAGGTATTGGTCACATGAGGCGGAACGGTCCTTCACCCAGGCTCAACCTGGAACGTGTGACTCCACCACTTCCTCGGCCTACAGAGACCCAGCCTGCCTCCACAGTTCTCAGAGTCAAGGGGAGTGGGCCAGAAATGTGCATTCATCTGCTGTTGTATGACATGGAAGTCTGTGCCCTGTTGGACAGTGGGGCCAGGAGGAGCGTGTTACCTCGGCTCTGTTATGAAACCATCCGTCAACCCCTGAGTGGAGACAGAAAAATTCAAAAGCAGAATTCAAATCTCGTCTGCAGAGATTCAACAAGAGGAGTAAAATCAATTGGGAAGAGATTGTCTGTCACAACTGCCAAGGTATTAGTCACATGAGGCGGAACTCTCCTTCACCCAGGCTCAACCTGGAACGTGTGACTCCACCACTTCCTCGGCCTACAGAGACCCAGCCTGCCTCCACAGTTCTCAGAGTCAAGGGGAGTGGGCCAGAAATGTGCATTCATCTGCTGTTGTATGACATGGAAGTCTGTGCCCTGTTGGACAGTGGGGCCAGGAGGAGCGTGTTACCTCGGCTCTGTTATGAAACCATCAAGCCTGATGTAAGACCCCCGTTCAAGCTATCCACTGTACAGGGCCTGCAGGGAATAAGCCCTATAAATGTCAATGTCCTCGGGGAAGTTGATGTTCCAGTGCAAGTTGGAACCCAAACAGTCAGTGTTAATTTCATTGTTGCAAATGTAGCCGAGGGCACCGAGGCCATTTTGGGGCATCCATTCTTGGAGCAGGCACGGGCGACTCGCCTCGACTTTGGCAGTCAGACAATTGTATTGTTCAGCGAGCAGATTCCATACTTTAATCTAAAGAACAAGCCCAGGGTGCACGTGGTCCGCATAGCACGCACAGCTGTCCTTGAGGCGGGACGTGAATACATCATTCCAGGCAATGCACATTTTCGGGAGGAAGTACAGGGCAGTGTGCTGCTGAGTCCGACTAAAGGCTTTATGGAGAAGCATCATGTGATGGTGGCACGGATTATAATTGGTGCCCAGTCAAGTAATCGAGTTCCCGTTACTGCCTCCAGTGGATTCATGTCCCGCAGTGGTCCCAAGTCACTTACAGTCGCTGTATGCAGAGAGTACAAGGGATCTGAGGGAGGCAGAACAGCATGAGCTTGCGGAGCTGCTTGGTGCTTACGGTGATGTTTTCTCCACTGGACCGACAGACCTCGGCCGCACAAACCTTGTCCAACATGACATTCAAATCCAGCCTGGCCTACCTGTGAAGCAGCAACCGCGTAGAAATTGCATTTGAGAAACAGCAAAGTGCCGATGAACAGATCCAGCAGAATCTTGATGCTGGCTTAGCCTCCCCAAGTAATAGCTGCTTGGGCTTCACCCATCGTAATGGTGCAAAAGAAAGACCAAACATAACGCTTGTGTGTAGACTACCAGGCACTAAATGAGCGCACCATAAAAGACGCCTACCCACTTCCAAGAATCCTAGACACGCTGTCCACAGCACAGTGGTTTAGCACATTGGACCTTGCCTCCGGGTACTGGCAAGTGGATTTGACTCCACAGGCGAGACAGGCAGCTGCGTTCTGTAGCAGGAAGGGGCTCTTTGCGTGGAACGTCATGCCGTTTGGCCTTTGCAACGCCCCGGCAACGTTCCAGCGCTTAATGGATCGTGTCTTGGCTGGAATGCCGGGGGAGGTCTGCCTAGTATACCTAGATGACATCATTGTGCTGGGCAAGGATGTAAAGGAAATGCTCCAGCGCCTGGCAAAGGTGTTTGAAAGGCTGCGCCAGGCCAACCTGAAATTGAAACCCGCTAAGTGTTGTCTCTTCCACCACCAGGTAGTCTACCTGGGCCACATCGTCTCAGAGCATGGTATAGCTACTGATCCTGAGAAAGTGCAGAAAATTCGAGAGTGGCCACAGCCCACGAGTGTTAACAAAGTCCGGTAGTTTGTGGGTCTCGCATCCTACTACAGACGGTTTGTCAAAGACTTCGCCACAGTTGCAAAGCCCCTTCAAAACCTGCTAAGAAAACATGCCCGATTTCACTGGACCCCTGAGAGCCAACAGACCTTTGATAAGTTAAAGGAGCTACTCACTACCGCCCCCATCCTTGGCTACCCTATGGACAGTGGTGATCTTATTCTGGATACAGATGCCAGCAACTTCGGAATCGGGGCTGTGCTGTCTCAACTACAGCAAGGAGAGGAGCGCGTACTAGCATATGGAAGTCAGAGCCTGACGCCAACTGAACAGCACCACACGGAGAGAACTTTTAGCGGTAGTGGAGTTCACAACACATTTCCGTCAGTACCTGCTGGGCAGATCCTTCACTGTACGCACAGACCATAGTAGCCTACAGTGGCTAATAAGAATGAGAGAACCGGAGGGACAGTTGGCCAGGTGGCTTGAGAAGCTTGGGGAGTATGACTTCAAAGTTGTTCATCGCCCTGGGCGCTGTCATGAAAATGCTGATGTGCTTTCCTGGAGGCCATGCTGTTCAACTTGCCCCTGCAACCTTAAGAATCCCATCTCGATTAGCCCTCAGCTCTGTCACCAGGCAGTCCAGTGTGACTTTGACAGCAAACCTGTAAATAACATACCTGCAGCTGTTACCATGGAGTCTTGTCAAGTGGGGGTAGTACAACCTGCCATCACCGCCAGTACTTCTTCATTCTCTGGGTGGACTACTGAAGAACTGCGTGCTGCCCAAGCAGCTGATCCTGATATCGCTCCCATCAAGAGGTGAATGAAGGAAACCATGAAACGACCCTCCTGGGAAGATGTGTCACCCTACGGGCCGGCAACAAAAGCCTACTGGAGTCAATGGCAAAGACTGTACCTAAAGGATGGCATTCTGTTACGATGTTACTACCTGAATGAGGGCCCTGAGTTTTACCCCCAGATTATCCTGCCACGAGTTTTCCGGAAAGATGTCATGCACCAGATGCACGAGGGTCCAGTGGGGGGACATTTCGGTGTGGAGCGAACGCTGTCCCGGCTGCAGACCAGGTATTATTGGTACAAAATGCGAGAAGATGTTTCACTTTGGTGTCACACATGCACCAGCTGTGCTGCAAAGGCTCGACCATTAAAGAGGCCTCAGGTACCCATGGGTACCGTGCGAGTGGGTGCCCCCATGGAAAGGATTGCTGTTGATTTGATGGGCCCCATGAATGAAACAGAACGCTTCAATCGTTACATTCTCGTAGAGCAAGATTATTTCACCAAATGGGTGGAAGCGTACCCCCTGCCCAACGACCAGGCTGTTACTGTGGCAGAGGTTATAGTCGTTGAATGGGTCTGCTGTTATGGGGCACCACTTGCCCTCCATAGTGACCAGGGCACCAACTTTGAATCGGAAGTCTTCAAAAAAATGTGTGAGCTGCTCAACATGGACAAGACCCGTACAACGCCTTTCCGACCTCAGTCAGACGGGCAGGTCGAGCGATTTAATGCCACTCTACAGAAAATCCTAGCCACAACCTCTGAGCGATGTCATTGGGATTGGGATCTGATGGTCCCCTACGCTGTGATGGCTTACTGAGCGACCAAGCACAGTTCGACTGGATTTACCCCAAACATGATGCTCTTCGGCCGGGAGATAACGGAGCCCATTGACCTGGTCGTAGGAAAGCCCCCCAACGACACACTGACGCAATCATTTCCACGATATGTGGTTCAGATGAGAGAAAGGTTAGAGTTGGCACATCAAGTTGCAAGGGATCCACTTGGCCAATCGGTGGAGCGTGCTAAAAAGCAGTATGACAAGAGAGCAGCCAGTACACACAACAAAGTCGGTGATGCGGTGTGGCACCTTGTCAAGGGAACGAAGCGAGTGAAAAACAAAATCAGGACGTTTCTCCCCAACTACGATGGTCCTTACTTTATCTTGGGACATCTGGACGACTTAGTGTACTGGATCCAGAGAAACCCGAGGACCAAAGTAAAAGTCGTCCACCATGACAAGCTCAAACCATACCATTCTCGGCAACCCCTGGAGAACAGCTGGGTGTTTAAAGACTCAGAAGTTTGGCAACCTCAGGAAGTTCCTGCCCCAGACCCAGAGTCGATTAAGCTGAACTTGACTTGGAACTGTCTTGTCTCTTCACGGAGGAAACCAGAAATTCCAGTGGGCCAGACAGCATGCCTCTCATGGATGGCACCAGTGTGCCGATAACTGAGCAGGACACAGAGGATGTTCAGTGGAGAGAAGGTAGCACGGTGCAACAGGATTTAACAGGGACCGTTAACGGCCAAATGAGGGGTAGGCCACAACGAGTCAGGAGATCACTGAGGAGGTTTGGGGACTGGACTAATTGATTATTAAAGACTTAAGAAAAAAAGAGAAGGAAATAATATTTTGTTGGAAATTCGTTATTGTTCTACAATTGTTAACAAAAAAAAAATCGATGCATGTCATCTGTGAAAAATATTATTTTATGTGTTCCCTTTTTGTAACCCGGGTGGATTTTGTTGTTTACCATTTTGTTAAGAAAACAAGCCAAGTGTATGTTTAATTAAGCCTGAGTTGTTTAATTTGTATGCAATGGCTGTTGTTAACCTCTTTTCCTTCTGCAGGCCAGTAGTGGAGAAGCCAGTCGGTCACTCAGCTGGCCTTAACTAACTACCTCACTAGTCATGTTGGGACTGAATTGCTATTGCTTCAACGAAGGACCCCCCTTTACAAAGCTACTCTGTAACCCCTCCCAGCACCGTGCTATCCTTTCACCTTATGGACTGTTTACCCCGTCACGTGGGGTTGGAATATATTGGCCAGTGCCTCCATTAAGCGCAGTTGCTTGAATGGACTGTGTGCTTTGACAATGGAGCAGCCTACGGACTGCTGATTAAAATAAAAAAAGAAGAGAGACGAACATGAAAAAAAGAAATATGGGTAGACATTGTGTTGAATATACTTTTACCTTCTATTAACCCTGTGAATCTATGGTGATATCCTTGTTAATGTGTGTGATGTATTTGGTATCAGTCATGCCGTGGTGCTGGAGTGGTATTAAGTTTAATCACCATCCAGAGTGGGGGTAGTGTTGCGGGAGAGAGGAAAAAGGAGTTGCTGCTTTAAGACAGCTATGTATGGGAGTTGTAGTCCAGAGTAAGATGCATTATGTGTTACGTAGTTCAGTGTGAAATGTGCTGGAGAGACGTGCCCTCACTGTGGGCTGTGCAGTTGAGAACGGAGGGAGAAAGTTTGTATTCCGCTTACAAGTCAAGTAAAATCAGTCCACCCGGGAGCTGTTTGCCACTGTGAACTTGACAACGTGAGAACGAGTAAAAAAATGGCATGCATCGGTAATTGTGTCCGTCTCTTCCCTTGCACGAACATGAATTGACGAGTTGTTACACTGCCGCCGGAAATCGCTGAAGTGGAAAAAAAGTAACATTAGTTTAGCGTTTGAAGATGCGCCGAACGAGCTGTGTTTTGATGTCAGTGCTGCTGATGATCGCCGATGGTATGTAGGCTATTATTATATGATTATATTATCTCTCTGTCTCTCTCTCTGTGTTCAACAAAACTATTCTCAATGGTCAATACTTTATTTATTTTCATTTCTGAACTATATTTTGGCTTCAAGGACCCTGAATCCTGGCTGCCCCTCGTGCTGCATCATAGGGCTTTGTAAGGTCAAGTATGAGACGATAAAATGGACACTTACAGTCGCTGACAAATGGCTGCAAAAATCAGTCCAGTGCCTCTATAGCCTACAGATTAAGAAAAATATGTCTTCATAATGCAATATATCTGAAAAGAGTGAAAAATTAAAGATTGTAAAGTGAATAGTCTTCCGTATGTTTACTGAAGTGTGCAAAACAAGTTTTGATTATCATTGGTTTGGTAACTTTCATGTCAGCTGTTGTCATGTTGAGGTGTGCCAGACTGTGTCCTACACTGACATATGTATTTTTTATCAGGTCATATTTCCTGGTTACCTGATTTGACCCAGTGTTTACAACCTGTTTTTCTAAAACAATGAAAGTGAAATATTTGTTTGTTAATTATTCATAAACACTGTTTGCTTGTGAAGTGCAAAAGCAAAAAACAGAACTTAATTTGAGACAGATAATCACAGGGATTTGTAAATTTGAAGAGACACCCATGGAGCATTTGAATTAAAACCATTCAGGACTGAATTCAGTTTTATATACATTTTACATTTAAAAGATCAAATGATCAATGATAAAACAGATAAACATGTTTACTTACACACACGCGCACACACACGCGCGCACACACACACACACACACACACACACACACACACAGAGAGACACTAACTCACACACGCACACACACACACACACACTGACATACACGCTGACACACGCACACACACTATGAAAAACTACAAATTACGTTAGTTTCTTCCCTCTCCTCTATAATCACAGTTTGATGATTGTAAAACAAATTTCCTAGCGACACCCCTGAATGCACCTACTTATTATTATTATTATTATTATTATTATTACATAAATACTTGTTCATGTCAGTAATGATGCTCTGTGTTAGTATTTATCCATGTATGCGCAGAGAATCTACATCAAGCTTTATTTGATTTCTCTGTCTCAGGGTTGATTGTAAAAGGTCCCTCTGGTCCTCTGGTGGCTCCTCTGGGATCTTCAGTGGTTTTGCCCTGTTGTGTTGATGAACTTTTATCAGTGGAGGATCTGGAGGTGGAATGGAGAAGAACGGACTCAGAGACTCTGGTTCATCTGTATCAGGACGGTGAGAGTCGAGCAGAAGCCCAGCAGCAGGATTATCAGAATAGAGCTAATTTCTTCACTGATCAGATTCAACGTGGAAACTTCTCCCTCCAGCTGGACAAACTGAGAGCTGAAGATGAGGGACAGTATAAATGTAAAGTTCACAGTCAGCAAGAGTCTGGTGAGACTGTGGTTCAAATAAAAGTTAATGCTGGTGAGTATTGAACACATGAGCTCCTTCCATTATTTTCATTATGATTTTACAGAAACTAATTACTGAATGTATATTTACACTGTTTGTTCTTTCAGAGCGTTTGCTAGTATCAGAATCGAGTCTCTACATATCTGCGTCTGTGGGTGAAGATGCCACTCTGAACTGCTCTGTAGACTCTCACATCCCACCCGAAGACTTTGAGGAGGTTTCATGGAAGAAAATAGATGAAGATATTCAGGTTCTGCTCTACCAAAACAATGAGGCACATTCATCAAATGAGCGATACATAGACAGAGTTGAGCTCTTCACTGCTGAAATCCCCAAAGGAAACTTCTCTCTCAGACTGAAGAGCATCAGAACTGAGGATAAAGGAGTTTACATGTGTGAGGTGTTTGCTGGAGGACTTTCAGCCAATGCAACTGTAGTACTGGAGCAACTGGGTGAGTAACAGGCATGTCATACTTTGTAAAGTGGAACGTTTAATGGCTGCAGGGTCATGCTGTGTCTAATCAACTAAATTTGGCAAAAAGATGGCAGCATCATTATTTTATTTTTTTATCAAATCAAGATTAGAAGGTCTGTTGCCTTTAGTAAAAGCTGTTGCCTTTAGCAATCTTTGCATTATATGCCAATAGTATGGTGGCCGAGAGAGCTCTCTTGTCCTCCTTACAATATATGTATTTTATTTTTTGCTAAAGTTTGCATACTTGTAACTCAAGAAATATAAAATATATCCTAATTAGTGGTCGACCGATATGTGTTTTTTGACAGCCGATACCGATGCCGATATCTTGGAAAGCAGGGTGGCCGATATAAAGCCGATATAATTTTTTCTTTTTAATTAATATTTAAGAAATTTGAAATAATTTTAAAATGAATAAAAAAATAAACGTGTAAAATAAACATACTTATACTCAAGAAGGCAAAGTATTTTTCACAAATAAATAAATATATAATACAAATATAATTAAAAACACTGTAACCAACAGGGCACTCAGTATTCTGGGAAGTTTGTGTGCATTGGGAATCATATTTTTTCAAATAAAGTCAAGGTAACACTCATTTTACATACAGCACACAGTGAAAATGACATGAATATGACAGTGGGCAAATGCATACAGCGTATTTGTTAAATATAACAAAAAGTTGTGTGTCTGATTGGTCCAAATGCTACATGTCCATATTCAATTCACACGGACCATATGACCGACCGTCACAGAACACACGATTATGCAGGTCACATGCACACTTCACAAGATCTCAACTAGATTCGACTAAGTCTGCAAGGTTTGTAAAATTAAATGTTCATTAGTCATTCAAAGATTTGTTTAAATTATATAAATGCGTATTGCGGAATGCTGACGGCAAACAAGAAAGTATTATAATTAGCCTTTAATAATATTAAAGCAATCGTTATAATACTTTTTTGTATACATTTTAATTCCTTTGTTTAACAGTTCTATCTGATCATTAGACAGACTTCTATCCATATTAGACAGAACTGAATGACAACAGCGAACAAGAGGAAGAATGTGAGCACTGTGCGCCGTCAAAATAAAAGTCCCACCTCGAACACATCAGCCAAACAGAAAAACTTATAGGCCGATGCCGATATTTGAAAAATATCCATACCATACTTGGCCACACATCACGTCCTTTCCTTTTTAAACTCTTCTTTTGGTATCTTCATTTTTAGGGTGTTTGGAAGAGAGTGCTGTTCTTCACACCCCTTCCTACATTTGCTGCTGGTACTGATAATTAGGGATGTCCCGATCAGGTTTTTTTGCCCTCGAGTCCGAGTCCGAGTCATTTGATTTTGAGTATCTACCGATACCGAGTACCGATCCGATACTTCTATAATACATAAAAAAAGAATAAAGAAGAGCGAAAAAACAGATCCAGGATGTTCCTTATTTTTTATTTAATTCACCTTATTTTAACATTCAACAACTCTGTTAACAAACAGAGCACTTCTGTGAGGTAGCTTGAACAATCAAGTAATAAATAACATAAATACTTTTGGACTTTAGTGCAACAGTAAATATAAAAAAAGTCTAATATAAAAACAAATAGCACCTCAACTTAAAATACCCTAGGCAAATAAAACAAATAAAAAAATAAAAGTGCCACAGTGTTTGCAAAGCCAGTAATGTGCTTTTAGGAACTGCACTCCTAACTCTTACTGTCATCACAGTAGTAAGTTTCACAGAAGGAAATGTATGTTTTTCTTAATGAAGTCTTCGGCTGGGTTGCCTGGGTAAACTCGCTGTATTGTGTTGGGTGTTTTGTTTTTGAGGTGCCGTATCAGGTTTGTTGTGTTAAATGTAGCATGTTCCGTGTTCTACTTTGCCGGCATTTAACCAAAAGCGTCTCTGCAACAAACTGATGTCATGCCGCACACGTTGCTGTTTCTGTGTGGAGTCAAAAGGGTCTAACTCTGTGCCACCGCATAACTATAGATGTGTTAAAAAATAATGAGAATATATATACATATATATCCGAGTCCTGATCGGGAGGTAACGTCCGATTCCGATCGAGTCTGAAACCACGTGATCGGGCCCGATTTCCGATCACGTGATCGGATCGGGACATCCCTACTGATAATTGAACCTATGGCCTTCGGGTAATAAGTTTGACTCTATAATCATTAGTCACAACCGTTCCTTTAGAGAGAAACAGCTGAAGAGCAAATAATGTTGAAACTAGAAATTTAGCTGGTTCACCTATATCAAAACAACTGCATCGGACATACCTGTCTAATAGGCAAAAATACACAGAATGGTCAAGTTGAGGAACATTAACTTAATCTCAACGGTCTATTCAGAAGATTTTATGTTTGAATCAGTTTTAGGGAAATTTGGAAGAAGGGATTTTGTTCATTTTAAGTGCTTTTGAAGCTACCAAGAGTTTAAAATAGGAGTATTGTATCTACATGTTTGAAACAAGTTTCATGCATCCTAGAGAAGTGTGGTTGCACTCCCCACTAGGGGAGTGACGAGATCCGACTGGTCTCGCGAGAACGTGACGATATCCTCGTGCTATTGGCATACGTCAGATCTTTCAGACTGTAATGGCTCCTGAAGGTTTTCTTCTGATTAAAAGAATCACGCTTCAACTGATGTCTTAACGTTTAATGTCTTCTTTGCAAAGAGTAGGCTATAAGTATCATCGCCATCTTGCTCATATTTCAACATCACTTGAACATCGTGACACCCTTTGGATATATCAACATTTTGACATCTTTACATCATGACACCGTGAAAAACTGAAACAAATAAAATTACATTCAGATACGTAACGTGTGAGTGTGTTTCTGTTTTTACCACAATTTAACCAAGTCTGTTTCTTACTGAACCAATATCATTACACACAGTACATTAACTTTGCAAATTAACAGATGAAATCCAAAGAATAAACAACATACCATGTGCACCTTATAATTAGAAATCCAGGAGACATTAGGATACATTTATGTAGACATTCTGTCTAACAAATAATCTTACAATCAAACAACTCTTAGCATGTGTGCATTTCTTTGTGGATCTGATACTCACATGGCTAGCTAGATCACATGACAAATTCAACTAACGTTACACATATTTCACCTGTAGGTGTCACTATTACCCAGTATTTATAATATTCAAAAACTAAATACCTTTTCACAAAATAAATGACTGAAATACTTAAAAGAAAATACAACCATTTCTGCGACAGCTACACAGACATATTTGCATTAAACTGGCTCGTTCACCAGTAGTGGTAAGCAAGATATTTTTGTTCACCTGTGAATACAATATGCTTACTATATGATGCAATGTTACATGTCCCACCAGAGACAGTAATATACTGGATCACTGTTATGCAGCAATAAAGGATGCATACCACTCTGTCCAACGGCCAGCTTTGAGGCTCTCTGATCACTGCCTGATTCATCTTATACCGACCTTATAAGACAAAATTGTAAATCTGCTAAACCTGCAGTAAAGACTGTAAAGAGATGGACCAACGAAACAGAGTGGGTTTTACAAGCCTGTTTCGACTCCACTGATTGGAGTGTTTTTGAAGCTGCTACCACCGATCTGGACGAACTCACAGAGACTGTAACATCCTATATTAGTTTCTATGAGGATATATGCATTCCTACCAGGACTTATTTAACTTTAAACAATGATAAGCCATGGTTTGCAGCAAAACTCAGACATCTTCATCAGGCCAAAGAGGATGCCTACAGAAATGGGTACAGAGTCTTGTACAATCAGGCCAGGAACACACTGAATAAGGAGATTAGAGTGTCTAAAAGGACCTACGCTAAAAAGTTGGAAGATCAGTTCACTTCCAATGACTCAGCTTCAGTGTGGAAAGGTCTGAAAGCCATCACCAACTACAAGACACCATCCCCCAGGGCACCAGGCCCAGATGGCGTGACACCAGCCTGTCTGAAAACCTGTGCTGACCAGCTGACCCCCATATTTTCACAGATCTTCAGTAGATCTCTGGAGTTGTGTAAAGTCCCTTCCTGCTTCAAACACTCCACCATCATCCCCGTCCCAAAGAAACCCAATATTACAGGTCTTAATGACTACAGACCTGTGGCACTTACGTCTGTCATCATGAAGTTGTTCGAAAAACTGGTTCTGGCTTATCTGAAGGACATCACTGGACCCTTACTGGACCCCCTGCAGTTTGCTTAACGAGCAAACATGTCTGTGGATGATGCAGTCAACATGGGACTGCACTTCATCCTGCAACATCTGGACAAGACCAAACTAACCCAGCTCTCTGTCCCTAGCTCTCTGTCAATGGATCACCAGCTTTCTTACAGATAAGCAACAGCTAGTGAGACTGGGGAAATGCATGTCAAACACAAACACTGGTGCCCCTCAGGGATGTGTTCTCTCCCCACTGCTCTTCTCCCTGTACACCAACAACTGCACCTCTAAAGACCCCTCTGTCAAGCTCCTGAAGTTTGCGGATGACACTACAGTCATCGGTCTCATCCAGGACGGCAACGAGTCTGCTTACAGACAATAGGTTGAGCAGCTGGCTGTCTGGTGCAGTCTCAACAATCTGGAGCTGAACATGCTCAAAACAGTGGAGATGATCGTGGACTTCAGGAGAAACCCCCCTGCACTCCCCCCCACTCACCATCATAGACAGCACTGTGACTGCAGTGGAGACATTCAAGTTCCTGGGATCCATCATCTCCCAGGACCTGAAGTGGGACACTCACATCGACTCCATTGTGAAAAAGGCCCAACAAAAACCAGCTGAGGAAGTTTAACCTGCCACAAGAGCTGCTGAAACAGTTCTACTCCGCCATCGAGTCTGTCCTGTGCACTTCAATAACTGTCTGGTTTGGTTCAGCTACAAAATCAGACATCAGAAGACTACAGAGAATGGTTCGAACAGCTGAAAGGAGTATTGGTGCTCCCCTACCCACCCTCCAAGAACTGTATACATCCAGAGTGAGGAAAAGGGCTCAGAAAATCACTCTGGATCCCTCACATCCAAGTTATCCCCTTTTTGAACTTTTGCCATCTGGCCGGCGCTACAGAGCCCCAAATACCAGGACAGCCAGGCACAAGAACAGTTTCTTCCCCCAGGCAATCTACCTTATGAGCAGTTAAATGTTCCCCACATAATGCAATAAACATGTACAAAAACCTTATATTTATTTGTTACTACCTTCATCCTAGTACATCCCTGCATCTCATTCTATTCTTTTCCATTCTATCATCTATAGCACAACTGTACATATATTTATTTTTCATACTGTACATATATTTATTTTTCAAATTTTGTCTATTTATATTTACATGTGTGTATTTTTTATTCTCATCGTATTTTTTATTGTCTGTGTGTTGTTGTTGTCTATGTGTACTGGAAGCTTATGTCACTAAAACAAATTCCTTGTATGCGCAAGCATACTTGGCAATAAAGCTCTTTCTGATTCTGATTCTTAATGTTACCTGTGGTTAACAAGACACTCCAGTGTTTAACTAATCAGCTATCTGAATGATCGGGCTAGTGCTGCTTCCCCAAGAAATGTTTTAAGCCTTGTCAGTTTAAACATTAAAGTGTTTTAAGCCATTCAAGCGTGAGACGGCGCGAAAGAGATTTCAGTTTAGTACTCGTGCTGTGATAGACCGTTTCTGTGACCGCAGTACTATACAGAATACTGTTCGTCTTTGTTCAGTAACTGTTTGTGTTTGACAGGTTTCTCTGCTTCACACATAATGGTGCTGATTCTCTGTATTTCTGCATCTGGATCTGCACTCCTGCTCTGCTGCCTGATCTACTGCAGATATCCTACTAAAGGTATGTGTATAACAGGAAAATATTCTTATCAGCCGTAATTCAGTGTGTTTCAACTGCAAGATTATGACCCAATGACAATTATTATGATAATAATAATAATAATAAATAAAAATTAAATGTAAATGTTGATAAGCCTGTGTATCCAATCAAAATCTACATTATTCTGGCATAAATACATCTTTCACCACTATTATGGATTATTAAACAGTTTAATGTTTTAGGCTGGTAAATGACACCTGCTTGGCACCTGCTTTAGTCTTGTAGTTTGTGAAGTCTGTGGTGGTGAGGGAGCAATATATTGTAGAGGACAAAGAGGGAAATGTTGAGATGTCTACAGTAAATAAGGATTGGGACATACAGGATAAAAGTGTAAGTTTGTCAGTTGTGTTTAAGCTTGGAAATGGTGATTGTGGTGTTACAGAAACTATAGAACATGATGTGGATGTGAGTATAATGTACATCATAGCAGCAGTAGTTTGTTTTTATAGAGAGTAGCTCAGTAGGTCAGTGTTGTGATTCTTGATTTATGCATCATGTAGGACTAATTTGAAGGAGTGAACAGCCATTAAAGCAGAAGTTATTGTGATATTTGAGATCATTTAGTTAATTAGTCTAAATACATCTGTGTTTTACATGTCCTGTTCTCCTTGTTAACCCTTTTAACTTGTCTTAAGACTCATTATTCAATGTTGTATTAGAAATTTATCAGCAATAAAACACTCAAGCAATTAATGAATCAACTTTATTGAGGGTGAGAGAGAGAGAGAGAGGTGTGTGTGTTAATTTATATGTGTGCAAATGTGTACATGTATGTAACTAATGTCACTAATGCAGGGAAATTAAACATGTTCATTGCCCTTTCTAGTACAAAGTTAGTCTGTATATTTAGAAAATGATAAAATATATGAAACCATTGTTACTTGTCTAACTAAAAAAACGTCATGCAAATATTTTTATATTTCAGGTTTATTTGGCCAGCAAACATATGGTCAATATTTTAATCCGGGATCTTCAGTGGTTTTGCCCTGTCATGTTGACGAATGCTTATTAAAGAAAAAACTGAGGGTGGAATGGAGAAGAAAAGACACTAAGACTCTGGTTCATCTGTATGAAGATGGTGAGAGTCGATCAGAGAAACAGCACCAGGATTATCAGGATAGAGCTCATTTCTTTACTGACGATATTGAACATGGAAACTTTTCCCTCCGTCTGGACGATCTGAGAGCTGAAGATGCTGGAGAATACATATGTAAAGTTCACAGTGACCTTTTTACAGTGACCAGGACAGCAGAGACAAGTTTGGTACCTGGTAAGTTAATAAATAAAAGATAAAAACAAACAGAACCTACTGAACTGTTACATAACAAATAACAATACTAGGGATTCACCAATCTTGATTGTTAATGGCTGATTCCTACTGCAGATTTTTTTGCAGGTTCCAATAACAATGTTTAATTTAATTTAATTTTTTAAGCAACATACAGCACAACATAGAGTACATCACGATGTTTATTTGCTATATTTCAGGCAGATCTGTAGCCATGGAAAATTAGTGGCAACCACTGCTTTTTAAACACAATCCAAACAAAGATGCTAAATACATGTAACATAAGCAGTTTTTTAAATTTAAATTAAATAAACAAAACCACAATAATCTGAATTTAGCTTTATGAAACTATGCTTCATAAAACATCTGCACGACACAGCAGACGGTCTGAATGAGACGCAGATTCACTCTCTGACAACAGGTGGCACTCATGAAACAGCAGCAATACAGCCTTTTCTTGGTTACCGCTGTAAACAAAGCAGCACTGCGCTTATAAACACCACTATGCATTATACAGAGGCAAGATGAAAAGAAAATACCATCTGAACTGCTCTGACATCATCCCCCTCCATATATCTTGCAGTTACATATCAGTTATATTGTGTTAACAGTAATTTGACAGCTTCTGCCATTGGGTGATTTGTTGCATGGTCAACAGTACTTTTTTGAGACAACAAATATCTGCCCTCTGATGTCCATCTCTGATGGGCCTCTTGTACACAAAATCATTGCCTGGTTCCGCTTTTACAGTCTATCTTTCTGACAAACTGAACATGTTATATTAACGCTGATAGCTAACATACACACAACCTGTCACTCACATGAGATCACAGCAATAGCAAATGACAACAATCCAACGAACCAATCAATTCCAGATGGACAGAATCTAGTCCTGCTCTATATTTTTTTCTCATTCAAAAAGCCGTTTAAATCGGAAATACATCACAAAAGGAAAGAAAAGACAAAGATCTGGATGCAATTTCTGCTTATCCAAATCTTGTCCAGATCTTTGTCTTTTCTCTCCTTTTGTGATGTAGGCTATATCTGTGACACGAATGAGAAAAAAAAGGTATAGCAGGACTTGATTTTGTCCATCTGGAATTGATTGGTTCGTTGGATTGTTGTCATTTTGCTATTGCTGTGATCTCATGTGAGTGACAGGTTGCGTCTATGTTAAGTTTCAGTGTTAATATATTACTTGTCAGGTTGTCACCATATAGAAGGATAGACTGTAAAACAGGAACCAGGCAAAGATTTTGTGTACAAGAGGCCCAACAGAGAGGTCAAGCGATGGACATCAGAAGGCAGATATTTGTTGTGTCAAATAAAATCTGGTTTGTCATTGTTGGCCATGTGATAAACAGATTGCACAAAGGCAGAGGCTGCCAGATTACTGTAGCCCACCCTCATCTGAGAGCTTAGTAACTGTAAGAACATTTGGTCAGGAAAAACTGTGTATGCATTATACAGAAATGACATCACTGTCTAATCATTGATACACAATTCCTACAGTATTATTGAGAGGATGCTGGCAATCAATGACAGTTTCTACTGCCAGATTTGTCAGAAAACCTCAGGGGCTTGTACCATGATGGTGGCTATACAAACTCAAGGTTACAGGATTTATTTTAAGTTGAACAAAACCAATCCAATCCAGTTTTGTTGGCACTATGATGCTGATCATCAACTTTCTGTGTCAACCCAGACTTTGATCCTGAGTTTATGGAGCCATGTCAGTGCAAGTGAAAGTTGTGAAGTGAGTTTATATACAAACCCAATTCCAAAAAAGTACCAATTGTGAGTAAAAAAGGAATGGAATAATTTACAAATCTCATAAACTTTTTTAAAATTGTATTCACAATAGAATATAGATAACATATCAAATGTTGAAAGTGAGACATTTTGAAATGTCATGCCAAATATTGGCTCATTTTGGATTTCATGAGAGCTACACATTCCAAAAAAGTTGGGACAGGTAGCAATAAGAGGCCGGAAAAGTTAAATGTACATATAAGGAACAGCTGGAGGACCAATTTGCAACTTATTAGGTCAATTGGCAACATAATTGGGTATAAAAAGAGCCTCTCAGAGTAGCAGTGTCTCTCAGAAGTCAAGATGGGCAGAGGATCACCAATTCCCCCAATGCTGCAGCGAAAAATAGTGGAGCAATATCAGAAAGGAGCTTCTCAGAGAACAATTGCAAAGAGTTTGAAGTTATCATCATCTACAGTGCATAATATCGAATCGGGTTTGTAGTTGATAATATACAAAAGTATACAGAGACTCAACGTTTTAAACTCAAGTCATGTTTAAAGCTTTATCTATTGATTCAGAATGTAACCTGCCCTGGAGCAGCTTAGCCATGGAGCATAAGTTACTATGGACTTTAAGCAGCAACGGCTTCAGGAAGTGAAGTGTTAACTGGCGTAGCAAAAGAACGCAAAATCACTAAGCAGCAAATAAAGAGGACGCCATAAGGCAGGGGTCACCAGACTCGGTCCTGGAGGGCCGGTGTCCTGCAGAGTTTGTTGTGGATTTTTCTTGGGTGCGGCCAATGAAGTGGAGAAGCAGAGTTCCAGATGTCAAAATAAGACTTTATTTAACAAAGAAACAAAGCCGGGAAGACAGTCACAGCATTCCAAATCATTCCAAAGTCTTTGTTTGTCAGCTCATGTTATATACCCTTTGTTCTCTCCAAATTTGGTCATTTTCTGTTTTTTCTTTGTTCCGGTTATTTTTTATCGGTTATGGCTACCTGATTTGCCACAATTGTTTCCAACCCTTTTGGCCTTGTTTTTAATGGTGGAATGTGGTCCGATCAACCATTTTTTAAAAAGCTTTTATTTCGCCACCTTCCATTGGTTGGTAGTGGTCATACGAGGAGGTGTGTCAAATTTATCTACTTGTTCCTGATAATATTAGATTATTTCAAGTTCACTGGTTCTGTCTAATGAAAGGTCCGCTGTCTAATGAAAAGACCATTATACGTGTTCCTAATAATATTAGATTATTTCAAGTTCACAGGTGTACTGTCTAATGAAAGGTTCACTGTCTAATGAAAAGACTATTGTTCCCCATTATTACATCCAGAGTTGACATAATTCAGCATATTAATTTATATATTGATTACTTTCATTTTCACATAATACTTCAATAAAATTACACAATAAGTTCAGCTCCAACTCTAATTAAACACACCTGAACCAGCTAATCAAGCTCTTTCTGGTCAAACTAGAAACTTCTAGGCAGGTGTGTTGAGGCAAGTTCGAGCTGAACTCTGCAGGACACTGGCCCCCCAAAAATTACATATTTAAAAAAGCAAGACAAGGGTTGATTTTGGCATTAAATGATATTCAGATACAATTACAATGCCAAATACCATTAAACATAACATTTACTTACTATGGCACATCAGCTATTCTCCCATAGAATACGCTTACATTACAATGTGACGAAGCAGCAGTTAAAGTTGCACATGCGCAGTTGAATGCCACAGTGCTGTTATATAGCAGCTGTTGCTTAAAGTCCGTAATTATGGCCATGAACACTGTTAAATGCCAAGCCACTTTCATGGTACCCAAACCCCAGAGTTGGTGCAAACTAAACTGAAACTTACCTGGTTAGCCAGCTAAACCAGCTTCATGGTACAGGCCCCAGGACTGGGTTCATATTTTAATTGATGGACTGGATATTACAGACATTATAAATTGTAGGACAATTTGGTTAGAGAATGTTGTACTGTAAAATGTTTCTTTCAGAAACTAATATCTTGCATTGTTTGCTAAATTGGAAGAAGATCACTCTGTTGTGTTTTGCTGTTCCTAATGAAAACATGAAGGTAAGGTTTTAATGATCAACTACCTGTTACTGGTGTGATCTTTTTGGAGTTTTGTACTAAGTTCTTAAATGTAGCCAGAAAAAGTGTGAACATATTGCCAAGATTTTTTAAAAAGGAGCTTAGAGTCACCTCTAATATGAGCTTGTGCTGCTGTAGAGATGAAGTGTGAATGTGTGTGAGAGCTACTATCTGAGAGGAAATCATAAATACAGTTTGCTCAGAGAGAGAGAATAATTGTCATCACCAGCAATGTAAAGTATTTTTCAGACATTACACTGGACAAAATATATACTGTATATCAATTTATTTATCTGTTTGTTTGTAGTTATTTCACATGAGAAACTTGTGTCTGTTCCTTTACAGAGTTCAAAGTGAAAGGTTCCTCTGATGATCAAATGGTTTCTCTTGGAGGTTCAGTGGTTTTGCCCTGTCAGGTTGACGGAAGCTTGTTACAGAAACGTCTGAAGGTGGAGTGGAGAAGAACAGACTCAGAGACTCTGGTTCATCTGTATGAAGACGGTGAGAGTCAACCAAAGAAACAGCACAAAAATTATCACAGAGCTCATTTCATTACTGATGAAATTAAAGATGGAAACTTCTCCATCCGACTGGAAAAAGTGAGAGCAGAAGACGCTGGAAAATACACATGTAAAGTTTACAGTGACCAGGATTGTGTGCATTCAGCCGACGCAGAGGTTGAGATACTGGGTAAGTGAAAATAACTGGACCTGCTATTTTATACCTGGTGTAATGACGATTCAGTGACGTGGGGATCCATGTGCAGCTTTATTAACAATCAGACAGGCAAAGTTCAGTCAACAGCAAACAGGGGTAACGTAGGCAAGGCAGAATCATAACCAGAGTCCATGCAAAAGGTCGAGGCCGGCGGCAGAAAGAGGAGAGAGTAAATCCAAAAACAGAGCAAGGTCAAAGAGGCGAGCAGCGAACAATCAGACAGGTCTAAACAATCCAGGTAGGCAACAGGTAATCAAACAAGGTATGAACGCTCAGTAATGTCAGCAGTAGCAAAAACAAGACTTCGCAACAAGGGTAAGGTAGGCACTGCCTAAATAGTCATGGTGATGATCAGCACCTGTGCATGTAATCAATATCAGGCATGGGGTGATGGGAAATTAAATCCTAAGGAACAGTTAGTACTCCGGTGACGTGGGGATCCATGTGCAGCTTTATTAACAATCAGACAGGCAAAGTTCAGTCAACAGTATACAGGGGTAACGTAGGCAAGGCAGAATCATAACCAGAGTCCATGCAAAAGGTCGAGGCCGGCGGCAGAAAGAGGAGAGAGTAAATCCAAAAACAGAGCAAGGTCAAAGAGGCGAGCAGCGAACAATCAGACAGGTCTAAACAATCCAGGTAGGCAACAGGTAATCAAAACAAGGTATAAACGCTCAGTAATGTCAGCAGTAGCAAAAACAAGATTTCGCAACGAGGGTAAGGTAGGCACTGCCTAAATAGTCATGGTGATGATAAGCACCTGTGCATGTAATCAATATCAGGCAAGGGGTGATGGGAAATGAAGTCCTAAGGAACAGTTAGTACTCCGGTGATGGTTCCCTCTGGTGGGGATCAGAGGGAGCCACAGAGGCTTGATTTGTGACACCTGGTCAGTATATATGATTTTAATTTAGTGGTTAAGTTACAATATAAATATTGCATTTCCAGATTTTAAAAATAATATTATGATCATTTTAGTTACTTCACTCATAAATATAATAGTCTGATGTTATGCACCACTGGACTGGTCATATATTAATTATTCAGTTTGAAGGTGTACCTACTACAGTACTGATAAATACTTTTCTGGACCGTAGATGCTTAATCAGCTCTTCTGTGGGTTTGTGGTGCTGCAGATGTGAGTGTGTTTGTTGAAGATCTGAGAGACATTTCATACAAACTTAAACGTAGATTTAAAAATAATTTTATTAACAGATATTGCCAAAAAAGTGTAAAACTACAATAATAGATCACTGTGGAGTAAAAAAATAAATAACAAGGTGGCACAATAGTCTCCACAAAAGATTGTACAGAAAACAGGACTGTACAGAAAATAAATACGGACTGTTTCATAGACAGGGCGAATTCCAATTTTTTTTTTTGCGCTCTTGAAGGGCACTTCATGAAGGGGACGTCATCTGTAGGGACGTTCTAAACGAAAGTGAACAACTGAATCCCTTCAGAAGGGCTCTTCCAGAAGTCCGTTAGTGAAGGGAACATGCGATGGTCACTTCACAGAAGTGATTTCCGTTTGTGATCATGTGATCTTCGGTTAGGAGATCTTGCGATGCTTTTTAAAACAAAGTTGGGATTGATTTAGACTTCACATACAAACATAAGTAGAATAGGCTAATTAAATTTGTCTACTTCAATGTAAGAAAACATATATTTTGTCAGTGATAGAAATATGATTTAAGACGGTAGTGTAAGCAAATTTAGTTTGAAAAATATTTGAATGAAATTATAAGAAATATTTATTTGCAACAACTGATGGAGTGCTGAATGCTGCACATTGTCAAGGTAACATTAGGTCAGTCATTGCCTTCGTCAAGGGCGTTCCAAACGCTTACACGAGACTGTAATTGTCAGTCCTGTGTCTTGTGTTTTTCTCCCCATGTTCTCTCCTTGCCCCAGTTTCTCCCTCATATGCCCTTATTTGGTTTTCCGGTTCCTGTTCCCATTAAGTTCCAATTGATTCCAGCTGTGTCTCGTTTATTTCCTCATTTGTTCCATTACTTAAGCCCTGTGTTTTCCTGAGTCCTGCGTCCTGTCTAAACGTCAATCCCTGTTCCTATGGGTGGTTTCCCTTGCTCCTTTTGATTAATAAAGACTGTTATGCTAGTACTCTCCTGCGTTCCCTTTGTTCCTCGTTCCTCACAGTAGGCAACACAGTGACAGTAATATCCTGCACCCGTCAAAGAACACACTTCAAGGGCTCTGCCCTGCGAAGGGAGTAGAACAGGGATGCTCACTTCCGTTTGAAATTCGCTCACAGTATAGAATTCAGTTCTACTCAATATGTAGTTTAACTGCTATTAAGTCCCTCAAATAATGATTTGCATTACAATAAATAAATAAATAAATAACAAGAGAAGAAAACAAACAACAGGCTCTCACATCTTCTGTGCAATTAATAAATGTTTGATCAAATGAGGAGAGTTTATACACAAAACACAAATCCTTACTGTTCATTTGCCTGAACAGGTTAGGGACGTTCTAAACGAAAGTGAACAACTGAATCCCTTCAGAAGGGCTCTTCCAGAAGTCCGTTAGTGAAGGGAACATGCGATGGTCACTTCACAGAAGTGATTTCCGTTTGTGATCATGTGATCTTCGGTTAGGAGATCTTGCGATGCTTTTTAAAACAAAGTTGGGATTGATTTAGACTTCACATACAAACATAAGTAGAATAGGCTAATTAAATTTGTCTACTTCAATGTAAGAAAACATATATTTTGTCAGTGATAGAAATATGATTTAAGACGGTAGTGTAAGCAAATTTAGTTTGAAAAATATTTGAATGAAATTATAAGAAATATTTATTTGCAACAACTGATGGAGTGCTGAATGCTGCACATTGTCAAGGTAACATTAGGTCAGTCATTGCCTTCGTCAAGGGCGTTCCAAACGCTTACACGAGACTGTAATTGTCAGTCCTGTGTCTTGTGTTTTTCTCCCCATGTTCTCTCCTTGCCCCAGTTTCTCCCTCATATGCCCTTATTTGGTTTTCCGGTTCCTGTTCCCATTAAGTTCCAATTGATTCCAGCTGTGTCTCGTTTATTTCCTCATTTGTTCCATTACTTAAGCCCTGTGTTTTCCTGAGTCCTGCGTCCTGTCTAAACGTCAATCCCTGTTCCTATGGGTGGTTTCCCTTGCTCCTTTTGATTAATAAAGACTGTTATGCTAGTACTTTCCTGCGTTCTCCTCGTTTCTCACAGTAGGCAACACAGTGACAGTAATATCCTGCACCCGTCAAAGAACACACTTCAAGGGCTCTGCCCTGCGAAGGGAGCAGGGCATAGGGACACTCACTTCCATTTGGAATTCACCCATAGCATATAATTCAGTTCTACTCATTAATATGTAGTTTAACTGCTATTAAGTCCCTCAAATAATGATTTGCATTACAATAAGTAAATAAATAACAAGAGAAGAAAACAAACAACAGGCTCTCACATCTTCTGTGCAATTAATAAATGTTTGATCAAATGAGGAGAGTTTATACACAAAACACAAATCCTTACTGTTCATTTGCCTGAACAGGTATTTCACATTAACCTTTTAATTCATTAATTTTTTTTTTTTTTTAAGGGTTTGATGTTCTGTGTTCCCATTACACACTTGCTCCTCTGGGATCTTCAGTGGTTTTGCCCTCTTATAAATATAAACCTTTACCAGTGGAGGGTCTGGAAGTGGAATGGGAAAAAGCACATGCTACCGTTCATCTGTATCAGGACGGTGAGAGTCGAGCAGAGGAACAAGATGAAGATTATCAGGATAGAGCTCATTTCTTCACTGATCAGATTCAACATGGAAACTTCTCCCTCCGGCTGGACAATCTGAGAGCTGAAGATGAAGGAGAATACACATGTACAGTTTACAGTCAGCAGGATTCTGTGTTTTCAGCTTGGACAAAATTGGAACTGAGATTACTAGGTAAGTCAACAGATAAAAATACCACATCTTGTAGCCTTAATCAATGGGTTAATTTAATAGTTTAGTTTTATATACTATATCTGTGTTTCCAGTAAACATAAAGTGAGTTTGGATCATCGTAGAGCTTGCATAGCGAAGCGCAGTGTTGGGGAGTGACTAGTTACATGTAACGGTGTTACGTAATTTAATTACAAAATAAATGTAACTGTAATCAGTTACAATTACTAAGAAAAAATGTGTAATTAAATTACAGTTACTTATGTTAATGATTACAAAGGGGGTTACATTTGAATATTCACACACATCCACATACAGATTTAATTGATTTCTTTCCCGAATTGCTCTGACTACTCTAAAATATGAGACATACGGCCCTATGATTTCCGTGATGCGGAAAAAAAAACACGGACTGGTTGGAGTTCCTATAACGCGGAATGTCACAGAATATGCAACATTTGGATGAATAAATCAAAAGTAGGTCAGTACACTTGAATCAAAACGCGATATGGACTAGGGCCTGTAAATATTCAGCAGCAAAAAGACAATATATGAATCCTGCACGTTCTGTGTGTCTCTGTGGAAATCAGGCGCGGACTGGTCATCGGGAGAACCGGGACAATTCCGGGTGGCTTGGCAGCTGATTTTGCCCGCTTTTTAATATTATTGTTATTATATAATTGCTCACCGAATGTACTAAAGCGGTTGTTTCCGAATTCGACATTCGATAATAAATCTCTAATAAATCATGAATCAGTTAGTCGTGATTGGGAATGCACTTCGGCTCGCGCTCGCTCTGCGCCGCCGCCAAACGGTTTAGATCAGAGTAATCAGTGCAAGAGATTCAAGTGGACTGTATAAGTGCACAGGTGAAGCAGAGAAGCAAAATTACTGTTCAGGGTTTCAAGTGCAGGTCAGTTTCATCTGTAAATATGCAATAGTTTTGTCTTTGTTTACTTAGTTAAGCAGTAGCCTATTGCTCATCAATCATCACTCAAAATACTGTATACTAAAGGACATCATTATCCACTGTATTTTGTTAGTTAATGAATGTATCCAGGCTGAACAACCGCTGTGTAGAACAGGGCCGGACTGGGACACAATTTCACTCATCCAGGCCATCCCATACACCCACAACACATTCTGAAACCATGCACAACACTACTTTTTGTTTGGCCATCACATAAAACAGGTTACAATCCTTAGGCTGGGCCGTACAAAATAACTATATTTTCTAAATTGCATAAATGTCAAAATTAGTACAACAATAACTACACCATGACCATTTATTATAAAAGAAAACATAATATTAAACATGTTATTGCATTATCATGGGTCATATTTTTCCCTTATGAAAATTAACTATGGTTTTTATTACAGTAAAAGTAACCATAGTTTTTTTAGTGGATTGATTACTATTTGTATAACCGTAGTTTTACTACAGATTCCATGATTAAACTATGGTTAGTGTAGCAAAACCATAATTTGTTGTTACCTTAGTAACCCTGGTTTTTGGTTTTATTTGATGTAAAAGCATGGTTAGTTTTCATAAGGGTTGTGTTGTCTGCCCTAGCTCCCTCTAAACCTATTGTAAAACAATGTGAATATTTGTCAGCTAAATTACTACTGTAACTTCACAACAGATAATAATGATGTACTTTAGCATACCGTATTTTGAGTGATGATAGTAATGCGGTGCTACTGCTAACAGTTTAATGGTGGGGGGTGGGGGCATCTTGAGAGAGAGATTTTTTGATTTTTGAAAAAAGCTTTATTCACAAATAGCCCAAAACAGATCAAGTTACATTTACGCCAATCAAATATTTAGTAAAAACACTCAGAAACAAAAAACTAAATCACCTTCAGTTATTGTACATGACTGCACCATTTCAATTTAAAAGTGGAAAGATCATTCATGGCATTATAAAAATTTAAGTTAATCAGTATTCTTGCTTTGAGTAAAGACCTAAAAGCCATAACCACATCATCATTGCACCCTTGCTAGTTTACTTTACTATACATCGCCAATTTCGCTTACCCAAAAATAAAATTCAGTAATTGAAACACAATAAATTTTTTCTGCGCATACTTGAAACCAAAGATAAAGGTTTCAGGAAAGAAACTCTCATTGAACTTGACACACATTTCTTGAACCAACACAAATAAAGTCTAAAACTGTACATGAAAGCATGAAAAACTGTTTCCTCTTGAAGGACAACCAGGGTTATAATTGGAATCCAAAACAGAAATAAAAGAATTAACCGCGATAGATTTCTCCATTGCAAATCCTGTTGTCTTTGATAATGGTGGCTTATATAACACTCTCCATTTAGGTTTTACATCATCACATAATTTAAAAACTGAACAACATGGGGTATCAACTCTTTTGTCAAGCATTTTCTTGTTAAACATCAGAACACACATCTTATACAAAACCCTTACTGTACAAGAAAAGAAATCAACAGAAAAATATTTTTCTTGTTTTAATAAAATACCTGAACATTCTTCAAAGAACGGTTGGATTGTCAAACGGGGCAAAGGGTCCTGTCTATCAGGAATATTACAGGTGCATCTCAATAAATTAGAATGTCGTGGAAAAGTTCATTTATTTCAGTAATTCAACTCAAATTGTGAAACTCGTGTATTAAATAAATTCAATGCACACAGACTGAAGTAGTTTAAGTCTTTGGTTCTTTTAATTGTGATGATTTTGGCTCACATTTAACGAAAACCTGAAAAAATGTCTTCCAGAATCAGCTTCTCTTCACTTCTAAGTGCCTCTGTCAGTTTAGATAAAAAACGAGTAATTGAGCAAATAGATCGGAGTCCCAGTCCTTTTGCAACAGCCTCTGTGTCCTTAAAATGAGGTCCAGTTAAAGACAGCAACTGGTCTTGGGAAGTTGTGGCCTAATGGTTAGAGAGTCGGACTCGTAACCCAAAGTTTGCGGGTTCGAGTCTCGTACCAGCAGGGATTGTAGGTGGGGGGTGAATGTACAGCGCTCTCTCTCACCTTCAATACCATGACTGAGGTGCCCTTGAGCAAGGCACCGAACCCCCAACTGCTCCCCGGGCGCCGCAGCAAAAATGGCTACCCACTGCTCCGGGTGTGTGTTCACTGCTGTATGTGTGCACTTTGAATGGGTAAATGCAGAGCACTAATTCTGAGTATACTTGGCCACATGTCACGTCACTTTCACTTTCACAAAAACTCCTGAATTTTGTAGCGCCTTGCTGAAACCCGGTAAAAAAGTGGAAGAAGAAATGTCCAGTCTTGTCTTGCAGATTAGAGGCTCCTTTAATAACCAGTAAATTGAATGAAAATTCTCAGTATTTTGGATGTGAAAAAAACTCCACACTTTAAAAAGATTCTGATAAAAAAAAGAGGCAGCTGTGAGAGGTTCAAACTCTTGGGGTCCATCAGAAACCGAGCTCTATCCAGAGCAAAATTTCCAACAATCTGCAGTATAATGCAAATTATAGCTCTCCAGCTTTCTCTACAGTCACTGGTCCATCTAGACATCTTTGTATAAAATGTAACCGGAAAGTTGCAATCCTGCTCTGTAAATGAATTAAACCTTGATCGCCTTCCTCTTTAGGTAAATACAATATGCTCTGTGGGATCCAATGAAGTTTGTCCCAAAAGAAATCAACAAAGACCGCTTGAATTTCAGCCATCAATTTTGCAGGGGGGTCAATACATGCCAGTCTATGCCATAAAAGTGAAGCAACCGAGTTATTGACAATAAGTGTTCGACCTCTAAAGGACATGTTAGGTAAAAGCCATTTCCATTTGTCTAGATGACCTCTAACTTTCTGTAACATTCCATCCCAGTTTTTTTGTGAAACACTGTCATCTCCTAAAAACACTCCAAGATATCTTATGCCCCATCTACTCCAACATAAACCTTCAGGTAGAGTTGGTTTTCCATCGATCCAATCTCCTAATAACAAAGCATCACTTTTCTTCCAATTAACCTTTGCTGAAGACCATTTTCCAAATTCCTCTATTAATTTCGATAGGACATGTATATTGTCTTGTTTATTGATTATTATTATTATAACGTCATCAGCATAGGCTGCTAAACAAAAATTCAGATCACACCGTGGTACTCTTAACCCTTCCAAACTCTTCCTAATTTGCTGGAGTAGTGGTTTAATAGCAATAGAATATAACATACCTGACAATGAACATCCTTGTCTAATTCCCCTATTAACCTTGAATGGAGCACATAAGCCACCATTAATCTTAACTACACTCTCTCAATGTCACTATAAAGAATTTTTAGCATACTTAAATTTTTTTCATGGAAACCGAAGACTTCCAAGCTATTCGATAAATATGAATGTTCCTGTCGAACGCTTGTTCTTGATCTAAGGACAACAGACTGCATTTGATATCAAGTAGTTTAGAAACCTGTATATTATCCCTAATAAAAGAAATATCGTCAAAAATTGACTTACAAGGTACACAGTAAGACTGATCCGGATGGATCACCTGTCCCATTACCTTAGCCAACCTGATTGCCAATGTTTCTGAAAGTAATTTGTAATCACTGCATAAAAGTGAGATCGGCCTCCAATTTTTAATCTCAGTGACATCTCCTTGTTTTGGGAGATGAGTAACCACTGCTCTTCGGCAGCTCAATGGCAACCCACCATTGAGGGGTTGCCATTGAGCTGTGTCCATCATTGAACACCTCCAGCAGATCAACTCCAATCTCAGACCAGAAGGTTTTCAGAAAATCAACCGGCAGCCCATCCATACCTGGAGTTTTTCCAGACTCCATACTCTGGAGTGCTGTATAAAGCTCTCCTAAGGTCAGGTCACTTTCTTGGACTCCTCTGAGATTTTTGGAAGATTTTCTAGGAAAATATTTTCCCCCCAATCTTCAGGCTCAAGCTCACTTCCATACAGGGACTGGTAAAAACGCATTGCTTCTTCACGAATCTCTCTGGGATTGGATAACAAATTACCATCCTCAGAACGTGAGGCGTGAATTATGCACTTTTGTCCATTTTTCCTTTCATGGCCAAATAAATATTTCGAAGGTGCATCCATCTGATCAATGTTCAAAAATTCTGACCGGACCAGTGCCCCCTGTGTTTTATGATCTAGCAGGTCTTTAAATTCTGCTTTTTTCCTTAAAAAGGTTTCCAAACAATTAATATC